TGGGGGTTGGCGGAGATGAGCACTGTTTTGACGTACGTGCGACCGTGGCCACTTTCTCCGGACTTCCACTGCCCTCTAAGCAAAGGCATGACACGCCGCTGTGAGCATTTTTGTACCCACTTGGCTTCCAGGAGGAATAGGTATGACCGTTTGAAACTCTTGCAGTTCGTTTGGACCCCTGACCATACGATCACGCCTTTCTAGGTCGTCTTTATTCATACATTGTAAAGGAGAAGGGGAGCGTGAAAAAAGGACTACACGGAAAAAAAAATCGTTGAATTGCTCAGCGTACTACAAATGCCCAAAGGTTGACCACACCGCCTTGTTGTGAAAGTCTATCTGCCACTACAGGCATTGTCTTCTCACAAGCGCCTTGTTCTTAGTTCCTACACCCTCTCAAAATGCCAAACCATTGGTTAGTGTTTGGTCTGTTGAAGTCATGCTAGGTAACGGTGCGGATGGCATTGGCTCGAAACCCCAAAGTAGAAATTTGAATTTTTTAACTAAAAAGGAACGTTCATAGCTGTTTACCCCATTGCCTCAGACCTAACGGAAAATAGTTAATCGATTAAGAAAATCCACTTCTTGAATACAAAGAAATTTCAGTATTGGTTGTTAACCAGAGCAATAAACCCATATCATAAAATCATTATACTACCATACACTAAATAACACAAGACAATATCACTATCTCTTAGCTATAAGCCCTCCACACCCCACACCCCCTTTTCCCCGACGTCTAAAGACTTTTTAAAACCGTTGACACTATGACATTGGCTTGTGCTCGCGGCTAGATCCCTGGTTGGCATAGCTCGCGGCAGGCTTTTGGCAGGGATTTGCTGCACTCAGAGTGCGCCGTGCACCCGTATCCTGGCAGAGTTCACCTTTTGGCGTCAGTCAGGACTGTGAACTCCGCGCACGTGACTGTGTGAGTAGGGCAGGGGTCGATAAGTGCAATGGCAATTGCTTTCATGTCGTGTGACGTATACGCTTAGTTCACAAGTCGGGTCTCAGGGGTGTGATTGGGGTAAGTTATGTACATTAACCATGTGGAAGCTAGCGCCAACACATTGTGTTCCCTTCATAATATTGAACTGTCTAAAAATGTCGGTCCAAAATGTTCATGTACCTCACAACAATGGTGACGGCTAACGTGAAATGTATCAGCAGGTGAAATAAATTATAACTTTTCGATAAAACATATTATTATTATTATTA